ATGAAGTACAACAAAGGGAAGTGCAAGGCCCTGCATATGGGAAAAACAACCCCGTACACCAGTACCTGCTGGGGCCAGGTGGCTGGGAGGTAGTTTGGCAGGAAAGGACATGGGGGTTCTGGTGGACACCACGTTGAACGTGAGCCAGCAGTGAGCCCTTGCTGCAGAGGCCAGCGGTATCTGGGGCTGTATAAGGAGGAGTGTTGCCTGCAGGTCAAGGAGGTGATCCTTCTCCTCTATTCAGCACTAGGGAAACACATCTGGCGTACTGTGTGCCTGCCCTCCCCAGGAGAAGAGAGACATAGCTGCCATGGTGAGAGCCTGATGAAGGGCCATGAAGATGATTAAGGGACTTGGAGCATCTCTGCTATAAGGAGAGGCTGAGAGAGCTGGGGCTGCTCAGCCTGGAGCAGAGAAGGCTCAGGGGATCTTATCAATGTATAGAAATACCTGCTGGGAGGGAGTAAAGAATAAGAAGCCAGGCTCTTCTCGGTGTTGTCCAGTGAATAGACAAGAAGTAGTGGGCACAAAATGAAATAAAATACTTCATGTTTAAAAGCGGTTTATTTATTTATTCATTTCAGGGGTGATCAGACACAGGAACAGGTTGTCCAAGGAGGTTTTGGAATCTCCATCTGTGGAGATACTCAAAACACAACTGGCCCTGAGCAACCTGCTGTAGTTAACCCTGCTTCAAGGGCGTGGTGGAGACAAGATGTTCTCCAGAGGTCCCTTCCAGCCTCAACTATGCCATGATTCTATAATTAGATATTATAATCATGGTATTTCTTTGCAAACAGGCGTTAATAATTACAGGAGTTTATATGGCCAAATAGGAAATTATGGTCTTGATAATCATCACTAGAAGAGGTCCCAAGGAACGCAGAGGTAAAGTGAAGAGTAGTTGTCTGTCTTGTTGAATGCAGCAAAACTTGTTCTGTTAAAAAAAAAAAAAAAAAAAAAAAAACCACAAAGAAGACCCTTAAACATGTGGGTTTTTGCTGTATGAATGAGGCGCTGTGTGTCTTTTGACGCTTCTCACTTCTGTATTAGTATTTGTAGACTAAACACCAGATGTTTTTGGAGTCAGTATCACACAGTAAGTGCCAGGGAGTATTTTCTTTAGGTTTCTGAGCTAATTACTGAGGCATAAAGATGTGAAAACAGAATCATGATGTGGCCAGGTTTCAAAGTCTAGCTATATCTTTTCCAGTGTTTCTTTTTATTTTGTTCCTATATTGCTGCAAATAAAAGAGGATTTTAACATGTAATAAAAATCCACCTCTCCTTGCGGCTTTTTTATTTCTTGAGCTGTAGCTGACACGGTTCTAGAGAATGCAAATGAAAAAATGCTTGGTGTTTTTTCTCCTTAATTTCACAACTTTTACATTTAACTCATGAGTTCAGGACCTAATCCTTGGATTTTGAAGCTGCTGCATTGGAAATAGCTTTATCATCTTGTTTTTAAAAGAAAAGAATTAGTATCAATCTCTCCCTTAAGAACAGCTCTGCAAATACAAAGGAAAATCTCCTATTAGCTGGAAATTGTATGTCAAATGTGGTAGAGAATGTCTCATTCAATTAAAGGACTATCCATAGCGACTACTCACCA